GTGGGACGGGGCAGGGTAGCTGAGCGTTTTAGGAGAGCTTTGTGGAGGAGTAGACGATGATGGTGGTGGTGATGTGAACGTGGTTGGAGTTGGGGTAGGGATGGTTGAGTTAGCAGAGGAGATGCGGAATGAGAGAAAGAGGAGTCTGCATTCACTTCAACTGCTCTTCGGAATCTTCATTATCGTTAAACTAATCCACATTAGGATTAAAACCTGTCCCCATATTAATGTTTTATGATTAAACTAAATAAACTGGTTATATTTTTTACTTCAGCGAACTGCCTGTTAAACTAAAAAAATAGACTGCGATGGCAGTCATCCAATGAAAAGTAAATTAATCGCATGAAGCAATAACTGTGCTTCATAATGTAAAGCGTGAAATTCCTGATCGGCTGATGTTTCCAGCAATGACCCTTCAGAGTAGAAAGGCTCTTTAGTGATGCCACCATGTAGAAGGGTCATTCCCTAAAACGTCAGCCTCTTAGATTTGATATTTTATCTTTGCAGCTCTTTGCCAATCTTCTGCTTGATGCAGCCCCCCCTCTACGCCTTTCAGTCATAGAGATTACAAGTAGCAATGGGTTCGTAAATAACTTCATAGATTATTTGAAAGTAACTTGGAATTCATAATGCAGCTGTATAATGAAAAAAGTAAATACAACTTGTGTACCCCCAGTTTGAACCTAGCGTGTGATCAACAGGGGCATTGTTCGACTTAAAAAAATAATAATCCAGGTGTATCCTTCGCTGGCTAATTCTACAATTGTGCTGATGCAGCTGCCGACTAATCGGAGCGAAAGCACCAATGTAGGCTGTTCCTCTGTAGCCCCCACTTTCCAGTCACATGGAACATTTACTTAGAGTCAAAACTCCTCTTTGTCAATCCACTACTGGATGAATGCCTTCCCCATGCTTTTTCGGTCAAGGGAGTTGTTTGACCATATTTCACCACATTGGGCAGTACGTGATGGTGAAGGGAGTGCCCACAAATGGCTCAATATCACTTGCCACTGGTGTGAGCCATGGCCAGGAATTGGACTTAGGTCCCTGTAACGGTAGATCCAGCATCAAGACAGCGTCTCTACGATAGGATTCGGCTGTATAAAGGGTCTTAAAAAAAGTGTGAATGAAGACGTTTTCTACATATTATTTGGTCAGTCATAGGTACAAGGATGAGGTGGCTTGAGACTGGATTTTAACTGTAAAAAGGTCTGTGCAGTGAAGACGTGTGGAAATCTACACCCATGGTTTAATTTTAGCCTGGATCTGTGACCCAGAAAATATTTCCTCATCTGACACCCCACATCCAATATACCTCCCACTGGCTGTGGCTAATAGCCTCGTGACTACTCCAGTCTAACAGCAACCTAGGAAATATTAGAGATGCATTGAGCCCTGTCTACTACACCTCTTTGATCAAGTGTCTCCACCATGCTCCCAAGTCATGCTTCGCACTATGGCCTCACCATGCACCCTCACTATCCAGCTCCTCCTTGCACTTCACCTGTTCATGGTGCCTGGCATATTTCAAAATATTCAAGGCGAAGAGCTTTGCTTAATACACCCATGATTGAAATGTTTTATAATGTTCCAGGATTTACAAAGAAAGCCGCACTTTTTACGTTTGAACTCTGTTAACCATTGATGGGTAAATGATCCATTACAAGGGGCAGAAAATAATTAACTGATGAGTGATCACTTTGGGAATGACTGCTGACTGGGATTAAGGTAATCCCTGGGTCCCAAGCCAGGGACATTACCCCCTCCACACATGATGAAAGTTGGTGGCCAGCAGCACGGCCATTCGATTTTTGTTGGCATGAAAGGCACGAGAGTGGGTTGTGGGGAGCGGTGGCACAGTGGTTGGTGACTCAACCGCAAGGACGGCAAGAGGGGAATTGTTGTCTTGGTGTGGGGAGCAGTGGCACAGTCGTTAGCGCACTGACATATGAGCCCAGCGCCCTGAATTTGAATCCCGGCGAATGCTAACATTGGTGGCGAGTAATATCAGAACTGGTCTTGGGTCCTCCTCGAGGTTGACACGGCTTTAAATGAGTCGCTGGTGCTGTGTGTAAAACATCGGCACTGTGAAACAAAAGTGGCTGGGCATTGTGCTGGCTACACCACATCTTTGTGTGCCATTCCAGCCTTTATAGGTACTTGCTAACAATACTTGCCCCAACCGTGTGTATGCTTGTGTGTCTCTCCTCTTCCCTAGCCAACAAGTTGGTGTTTTTTTGAGCGTTTTGGCATAGAATAAAGAAAATTATTAACAAATCTCCCTCCTGCTTTAACCATATTACCTATATTTTCACGTCTTTATTTGTAATGAGTTGTTTAATCAGCAATTAGCAGCTGTAAGCTCCGGGCAATATACACAGGTAGTCACCCATAGGCTTGCCAATCAGTGTGAGAAGAGATAACTCCGTTGACGTTGCAGCCCGCGGCATGAATAATGTACAGCCGCAGCCCTTTGTTGTGTTGTCAAGAAAATGTCACAAGCTCCTGCCAGTCGGTGACCTTTTTTTCAGTGACGAGGGAAAAAATGTTTTTCACATTTGGCAAGTTTGTCTCGGCTCAATCACTGGCGGTTGTTGTCGAGTTATACTCGTTGGTTCTTTCGGTAACGTCACCGTAGGTAGAAAAATGAAATAACATAAAATAATAATATCAGAACTGGTCTTGGGTCCTCCTCGAGGTTGACACGGCTTTAAATGAGTCGCTGGTGCTGTGTGTAAAACATCGGCACTGTGAAACAAAAGTGGCTGGGCATTGTGCTGGCTACACCACATCTTTGTGTGCCATTCCAGCCTTTATAGGTACTTGCTAACAATACTTGCCCCAACCGTGTGTATGCTTGTGTGTCTCTCCTCTTCCCTAGCCAACAAGTTGGTGTTTTTTTGAGCGTTTTGGCATAGAATAAAGAAAATTATTAACAAATCTCCCTCCTGCTTTAACCATATTACCTATATTTTCACGTCTTTATTTGTAATGAGTTGTTTAATCAGCAATTGGCAGCTGTAAGCTCCGGGCAATATACACAGGTAGTCACCCATAGGCTTGCCAATCAGTGTGAGAAGAGATAACTCCGTTGACGTTGCAGCCCGCGGCATGAATAATGTACAGCCGCAGCCCTTTGTTGTGTTGTCAAGAAAATGTCACAAGCTCCTGCCAGTCGGTGACCTTTTTTTCAGTGACGAGGGAAAAAATGTTTTTCACATTTGGCAAGTTTGTCTCGGCTCAATCACTGGCGGTTGTTGTCGAGTTATACTCGTTGGTTCTTTCGGTAACGTCACCGTAGGTAGAAAAATGAAATAAAATAAAATAATAATATATCATGACGTTTCGATCGCAACACAAACGGTCGTCCTCAGGCGGAAAAAAATAATCTAGCAGTGGAACTGCTGAACCAGGAAGAACACAGCGAGAGAGCCGTTACAACAAGAGGTTATATATGTGGCGAAGGGCAAGCAGGTGGGGTCTGAGCTGGAAAGGAATTCCATCCCCGCACGCAAGTACGTCAGTTGTGTAATGGGGGAGATTAGGGAGAGAGAGATTAGGGAGAGAGATTAGCATGAAATGAGCTTTTGTCACCGCATAAGAGTATCGTAACACAAGCTGTGGCGCTGCCAACTGCGCTGTGAGGCAAGTGCTCCAGTGAGACACACAGCCCATCACATAGCCAGAACCATCGATACATCGAGGCTAAGGGAGCAGAGGTGGCCATGTTAGTGAGACCCCAGCCCGTTAATGCAGAGGCACCTAACAGGGCAATGAAACTCAGAGAGTCGGAGATAACAGCCAAACGGCAGGGAAGAATGGAAGCACCACACCTCTGCTCCCTCTCGGTATGGCTCTGGATACCAGTTGCATGCCTCCTTCAATCTCACAGAGCACCCAGAACATATTTAGTGGGGGGCCGTATCATGGGGCCGTACCGTGCAAAATAGAGGGCAAAACTCAGTCACCTGTGCAGCTGAGCTGTGTTCTTTGCGCATGGTTTGATATCAGTAGATAGATGGAGTGTGTTGGCTCTTTCCAAGGTAGTTCTATATTATGAAAAGATGTCTTCAATAATAAAAATGAAACAGAAACTTTACCTTCCACTGCTGGATGAATTCCTCCCAATGCCATGCCAATTGTGGAAGTTGTTCAGTGTGTGCTGCTAAAGAGATGACCAAGACCGGTTTAGACCTCACTTGTCACTGATGCTAGTTGTGGCTGGGACTCAAACTTGTGTTTCTGGCTTCATAGCACTGTACTGCTATTTTTAAGAGGGTCTGAAATGGATGAAATGCATGCATGGTTAGTCTGATGCCAATCTCCAATGGGTCATTCATGCCATCCCCTAGTAAGGGGTTTGTGACCAAAGATCTCCGTGTTATCTTCTCCTTCACCCTGGCAAAGCAATCTTCTCTCTTGATATAATGCACTGACTGATGTTATCAATCTATTTATCTTTTCGTCACCTCCTGCTCCGCTTTACATCTATCTTGCGGTGGGAAGGTCGTCCTGCACATTTGTATGCCGAACAACGTGTCCAACACGTGAACAGTTGCATTGGACGTGCAGTCGCATTTACACGCGCTATAAATCCAGATTGTGTTGTATCATTGTATTGTATTTTTGCATTGGATGAACATTATCTTTCTCTGGTTTTGTAACTGGTACCCACTATTAATTGTTTTCCGGACAAAAAAAGACAAGTGAAAGACAAACCCAAGAGGGCTAATATGAAAACCACACTGCTAGAACCGCCAATTTGCCTTTCTCTAAATGCAATCAGGTTTAACCATTGCTCTCTCGCTCAAAACATTTCCATTTTTTTTATTATCACGCATGTTTCTGGCACAAGCAGCACTATGAACCCGTTGTCGTCGCCAACCACGTGATAGCGGAAACTGCCGCAAGAGTGGACCGCTTTGCAGAGGCTGCTGCAGTAGCAAAGTTTTGTTTGTAAATACTGGTTCTCTCCCTCTCTCTCCCCTGGCCTGGTTCAGGATGCCACTTACTGGGTCCACGTGCGTCACCTGGAGCACGGGGACGGGGGAATCCTGGACTGGGACGACACCGTGAGCGCCGTGGCGGATGATCGCGACAAGGTGAGCGCCCCCTGAACGCACACGTGCCCTGCGCTCGCGCAAATCTGGCAATTGCGCCCAATCACAAATGCGTGTATTGTTGTAAGATCACAATTTACAAGCAGCCACTCTTGAAGTTATAACAGATGGATGCGAGCGAAGTTTAACAACTGGCCTAGCAGTACGATGCGTGTGCAGGCGGCGCTTCTGTACCCGGGGCCCATGAGCCAGAGTGGCACAGGCGCAGGGCTATGAAGAGGTTGAAATTGGACAGTGGGCCCCATTGCATTGCTTACAGCAGGGTCACTGGACATACATTTCGGATACATAAGAGATGGAAGTAATGATCGGCATCATATGGCAACCGATGCGGACTGTAATTCAGGATGGAGTAATATCTCCACCTTTTTTTATAAGGAAGAAATGCTCACAAAAAACCCCACGGTGTCGGATGTCTTTGGTGGAGCTGGGCGACATTGGCCGAGGTTATTTTCAACGAAGTCGATGTGGCCTTGTGTGACCTCGACGTTCAAACAACCTCGCACACCCATTCAACCGACGCCAGGTCCCCCCTGACTTAGAGTAGAGGCCAGCGGCGTCGTCTCGCACAACGGCTGGCTGAACGTTTCGATACTGCACAAAGACAAAGATGTCCGATATGGTGTTAACAGACTGTTGGCGCAAGTGCTGTGTTAGCGAGCACCTGTCAAAGCCTGCACGGCACGCGAGGGGGTGGGTGAGTGGGTGGGTGGCCAGTACTACGTCTTTGTCTCCCTAGTGATGATATTTACTCATCGCCATGTGGAAACATTGATGTGTAAACACCAGGTACTCATTTGAGGCTGAGTCGACCTAGGGGAGACCCAGGAGTAGTTCAGATAATCTTTATTGGTGTGGTCATGAGTGGGAATTGACCTCGGGCCGCTGGGGTTGTAGCGCAGTGTGCTAACTGCTGCACTACCCCTACAACTACACACACAGTCATCGTGGAGAACCAGAGAGTGACTGGTAGTGCTTTTGAGGAGATTTTTGAAACATGGGGTGGGTGAGGGGTACTTTTTAAAAAATATATATTTAACTTTCACTCATTTGTTACATGCCTAGTGATGAGATTACTGTACTGAAGGAAGCTCAGTTGGAGAAAAAAAGATAAAAAGCGCAACCTTTTTAAGTTCAGCAGGGAGGCTAAATGCCGTGCGGGTCACACGCTGTCAAGCTGTGAGCACAGCTTTACGCTTGATATCACACGGCAGGTGCTCGCGCGTATGCGTCTGTATATATGTACACGTATCTGACTACAACAGATGCAACACATGTGCCTCCGCGCGTGACTGTACATGCACGGATTTCTATCCAATCAGTACAACTTCTCAAATGGGCTTGTCTGGATGATAACTCTCCAACAATGGAAGACTTCCTATTAAAGTATCGTACTTTTTGTGCTGAATTTTAACCACCATTTTTTACGGATTTGCATCTACGTTTTTATTCAGGAGTTTGGTGACTGTTGCAGGAAACCCGACGGAACGTTCCTGCCATTGCTTATCAAATTTCAGTCCAAATTTATTGGAATCCATTTTGGATTTTTGTCGTAACACCACACTACTCTGCTTATCCTGGTGTTACCAACCGCCAGGGTGGATTCGGGCAATGAGCGAATGTGTGCGGAATCAACTCGTGCCTGATATTAATTTTGTCCTGAACCCTAATGATGCTGTGGAACTTTGGCCTGTAAGTAATTGTGCTCGTCAGCAAGGATTTCAAGGGGGCCGCCGAGGCAGGAGACAGAGAGAAAGTGGTGGTGGAGGAGGAGTAGGGTGGGAGGGGGATGTAGAGAGGATCCTGGAAAAAGCCTTGTGGGGGAGGGTGAGAGTGGCTCCTGGCTGCTTAATGGGGGAGTGTTGGTCTACTTGGGATGGCTGAACTGGAGTTGAAAAAAAAACCTCTCAAACCCACGAAACCCATGGTGTGTGTACTGTTACGCCAGGGCTGTGGTGAGAGCTGGGCAGGGAGGAAGGGATCATGCTGCTCGTGATGGTCAATACGATGCCGCTCCAGTGCAGCATATGCACATTCACAGCAGCCCTTCGGTCATCAATTCACTGCTGGATGAGGACCTCCCCATGCCATGTGGGCCATGGGGGGGTTAATTTACCATACTTTACCACACTGGTCAGTGCGGGTCGCTGAAGGCAGGGAGCATAGAAGCACAGCACAACAATTACTTTTGCTGCACCGCCCACCATGTAGTCCCCCACAGCCTATATATAAACCTGTTGCATGGGCTGGTTGCCCATACAAACATTATCCAAGCTCATCCTGGCTAAGTATGTCAAGTCTGCAAAGAGTTGGTGCATTCCAAGCAAGTGAGCAGAAGCAGCATACAACAACAGCAATAAAACTATAACTTTAGTAATTCATTGCAAGGTACTTAACAGAAGATATACTTTCAGTGATGTTCCAAGATTAACAAGGATTGGTGCTCGAATAACAAAAGCAAAGACGACTCATTGTTCCCAAAACAATGTGCGGCAAATTTAATTCGAATGTGCCATGCATTTGGCATCATATCATGAGATTGGAGAATATAACTGGAATTCTCACAGCGCCATGCAACCCTTCATGCTGGGTACACCACTTTCTTGTCCACTATGCTACTGAGATAAATGTCCGTCACATAAGCCCAATATAGATATTAAAATCTCAGAATTGGACTTCAACCAAACTAAGTGAAAATCCATATTTGACATGATGTTTTTTTGTGTGGTTGATTTTATTCCGTGAGACCATCAACTCGATGTACTCGAGTACCCAGTTTTAGCACGAATTGGAACCCAGGATCTTCGTGATGCCCAAACAGTGCTCTCTGATCCCGAAACCACCCGGCCATGACCAGTTTTAAGCAACCACTTGGAACCGTTGGGTAGCCAGTTCATGCGCCTGGGTACTCACTGGGCCGTGGTGGTGAGATAAGTTTGCTATCTCGCCTGGTATACAGGTCATCCCGACCCTGACGCCAGTATATTTCGAGTTTGCATGTTCTCCCCGTGGTCACGTGGATTTTTCTCCGCGTCCTTCGGTTTTTTCCTCAATATATAGAAGCATGCGTTTAGAGCATTTGGTTGCTATACATTTCGACGTGATGAGCCACTTCATTGGACTCTCATTTGTGACCAGGTCACTTCTGAAAAACAGCGATATACCTCAGTGGGCCTTACCTAGTAAAATAAAACGTTGAGTTTTTCGTTTTTAATTTCTATGGGGAAGTTTTAAGCTTGTCTTTTTTCTCTCTCTCTCTGGGTTTTTTTTGTTTTCTCTCTCTGCCTGTGTCCTCTCTTTGGAATTTTCACACTTAAATTCTAACTTAGCAATCTTTCAAATACGTAATCAACCAGGCTATGCGTTGTGTGTTGACCGACTCTCTGTGTTGCATTACATTACATTTCGATATTTTGCTAGGTTATTTAATTTTAGTGTGTCTCTCTCCCGTTCTCCTAATTTTCAAGCTTGCGTACCATACCACGTCGTCGTCCTACTCATTGCCATGCTAATTTTTTCTCTGCCCCCTCCCTCTCTCCGCCCCCGCCCCCTCTCTCTATTTAAGGCCTCGTCACAGAGACGTTCTCTCTCTGTGTGCCTATGTGTTGCTCTCCCTCTCTGTGTATCTTTGTGATATCTGTCTGCTTATATGTCTGTTTATAGTTTTCTGGTTAGATTTTTGTTGCTATTTCTTTTATACCTGATGACAATTGCTTGTGTTGCAATCGAAACGTCGTAGTATGCTATTATTTAATTTATTATTTTATTTTTATACGTGACTTTACCGAAAGAACCAAAGAATAGTTGAGTTTTTCGTTTTTAATAGTCGAGATCATTACACATTTCCCACGAGGGATGGTTAAATTAGTCCATGCAGATATTAAGCCAGAGCACACACTCTGACAATTCCTCCATGTCAAAAGGCTTAAAACGGTGCGTTGGTGTTTATCTCATGTTAATGAGTAAAAATTAGCTCGAGGTAAACATCAACAAGGACGGGAAAAGCTTACTTTCCTTATAAATACGATTATGCTTAGGCATGTTGATTATGCAGGGAGTCATGTTTAGAATGGGTTCTCACATTCACGACGTATGCATCAAATCGTATGGATAATTAATATTTTCGATTCGTATATACTGTATTGCAGGTTATGCGACTCCTACAGCCACTAGAGGCCGCGGCGTTCACCATAATGTAAAAAGAAAATAACCGATTCTTGAATAAAATCGTGACCCCCAATTATGACGGTACATCACATCATCATGGTGGGCGGGGGGGGGGGGTGAATTGTTATATTTCTTGTAATTCTCAAATTGCAAAAAAAAAAATCATGTTTTCGATTGGCAGCTAATTTAACCTAAAGTTTCTGTCAACATCTAAAGTTACTGTGATCGCCAACCCAGACACCGCATTAACTATGCATTTCAATGAAAAGTGGTAAAACAGCTCAAGTAACAGTGCCCATGTTCTGTCTGTTTAATAACCTTATAAAATATTATACGGCGAGTTGGAACCTCTACATAAAAAAGAACAATGTCTGAGCGTAATACAGGGTCACCTCTCTTGTTAGAATAAACACATCATTCGAGACCCAAACATCGCTCCTCCTGGCTTTGGAATTCCCCGAAGACACCGCTGGAAGCATCAACTGCATCAAAGGATCGACAGGCTGATGTGCACATCGCCTTCATAAGTGGGAAGTTAAAGACGAGCCACAGTGCGATTGTAGCCATGCAACCCAAACTGTTGTCTGTGTTCCTTCAACGGAAGATGAATGGCACAACTAGCCCCTGAACATATTGCCGGGATACAAAATAATAGAAGAACAGAAACTCTCTCATCTAAACACAGCAAAAAAGCTAAACTCTATTTAATCACGAAAATGGACAATTGTAGTATTAACGTGCTAAGTTCCATCCCTGCTGCTAAAGTTATCTGTGAGGCTGGTAATAAGGTTGCATATTAATTCATTAGGTTACAT